CCCATTCCCCCTCCCCTCTCCCAGCATCACCCCGTCCCCTCCCCACTCCCACCTCCACTGACACCTTCCCATTCACCCCCACCCTCCTTCCTCCTGCCCATTCCCCTCATTGTTTCCTCTTGGTCCCCTGGCATTTGTTTCTCCTCCACCCTGCCCCTTGGTACCTTCCCCTTTCTCCTCATGCCCAGGCCCTTCCTCTCCCCTCAGCACAAGTCTCTTCTGCTCCTCACCCACCTTCCCCTTAGTTATCCTGACACCTGCCAAGTGGGGCAGCATGGCGGGAGGTTGCCCTGTGTGCTGGGGCTGGAGCCAGGGCCACAGTGCTCTTTTTAGTACTGTGGCCCTGGCCCCAGCAGTCACCCTGCAGCTGTGGCCCCAGCTGCTCCCATGGGCTGGACTATGCAGTGGGTGGTTGCCCCTGTGTGCCAGACCTGGAGCCAGGACACGGTGCTATTTTTAGTATCGGGGCCCAAGCTCCAGCTCTGGCAGCCACCACACAGCCCAGGTGGTGGCTGCCCAGCTGCTCTTGGGGTAAGCAGTCACTCGCTACATATCTTGGGGCCGCAGCTGTATGGCTCTGCTGAGGGGATGGGTGGGAATGAAATTGTGCAGGTGTGCATCTTACAGGGAATCCTGCATCTCACTATGCCAAAATAAGAACGTATTTATTTCAATGGCTAGGCATTGGAGTGTTTGGTTACAAAGGTATGGAAGCATGTTACAGATCCACTGAGCACCTTTATTTCCATATGTAGGATGCTAGATCTCTGACCTTACCTGAGCTTCTAAATCTTGTGCACTGACTTCATTGGGAATTCATGGTTACCAAAATGTCCAGGATTAGGCCTTCACTGTATTGCCTTGGTAGCCTCCCCTGCCCTTTCTAGCATGAAAAGCAAAGTACTGATGATCAGTTGTCACTCTCTCAACTAGCATTGGGACCACTAGCCTTGTTCTAACATGCTGGATGGTCACATCATTTTGGTATATGAGAGAATTAGCATTTGACTAGAAGAGAAGCTCGTGGTGTGGCTCTTCTTCCTGAATATACTAACAAATTAAGTCACTGAACGGTGTACATGGTGTAACAGGTTAGAGCACAGAGATGCCCTTGAGACTGTCAGCCAGTGTGCTCATCATACCACTGAGCCTACTTATGTGCCCTCTGGCATGCCCCTCTACCCTGTCCCACTGGGCCTGAAGTTCTGGACTCCTCCAGCAAAGACAGTTTGGGGATAACAACCCCCCAGCAGAATCACAGAGATGCTGACAATATCTCATGTTACATGGGGGGGAGCAACCACTGTGCATATCATTCTTTCATTGAGAAAGGGAGCTTACCTGGTATCTTTTCTTTGTATAAAACTTTTATACAGAGAAAGCTCATAAACATGTTCACCTCCTTAATCAGTGAGAAATATGCTCAGCAGTTGTTCCTCCCACAGGTAATAATTTACACTGTTTAGTAATAAACAAAAGTGTTTGTTAAGTATAAAAAGTAAGATTTAAGCAATTGCAAATGAACACAGACAGATCAAAGTAAGTTACTAAACAAAAAAAAGCACACATTAGCTAAGCCTGACACACTAAGGGTGTGTCTACACAGCACTTTTAGCTCGACAATCTATGCAATTTGTACTATGCAAACTGCATAGCTTATTTCAATGCTATTTTGAAATAACAAATTATTCTGAAGTTACAAAATAAGCTATTTCAGAATTCCCCTTAATCCTCATGGAACGAGGGTTATCACAAAGTTGGAATAAGCTACCTGTTATTTCAAAATCTATTTTGAAATAATGGGCTGCTTCAATAGACACGGAATAGCTATTTTGGGATACTTCCGGCACCTCAAAATAGCTCCACAGTGTAGATGTTCTCTAATAGAAGTTGTTACAAATCATGTTCTCCACCCTAGTTCTTATCTCAGATCCAATTCTTCACAAGCCAGAGCTGATCTTTTTCTCTGACCTGGGTCCAGCCATGTTCCTCCACTCCTCTTGTTACAGGTCTTTCTTTTCCAGGTATTCTTATGTATCTTCTTAAGGTGGGGAGGCAGTTTCAAAAGCCAAATGAAGACCAATCATTCTTTGCTTCGCATCTCTTCGATAGAATTTTCCCAGGGCAAGAATCCTTTCTTAAATTCTTTCCCCTTCCCCTCTGGAAAAATACCAAATTCAAGATGGATTCCAGCACCAGGTGGCATGGTCATATGTCTTTGTAAGACCAACCTCCATTTGATTTACAGGAAAAACAAAACCATGTACAGGTCATTATCTTGAGCACTGGGCCATTAAGTTCCTTGAGTACCGCTAATGGCTTTCATTAGAAGACCTAGAATTAATAAAACAGGTTTCCACTTAATATTTCTAATTTCACATACAAGAATGATAGTCATATAAATAGAATGTGTATCTTCAGGGGACTACAGAGTCTTGAATGATAGCTTACTTGCCCTATTTTGGGTAAAGTATATTTGAGTTATGTATATTCATATTCAAAGTCATATTTTCGTAAAAATATGGGGCATAGCATCATACATGGTGTTTACCAACCAGA